GGGGGGGGGGGGGGGGGGGGGGGCGTACTCTTATGCTTTGCATGCCTTAGCGGTTAGACCATTTACCACGCGTCCTCGAGAGGACGGAGCATTGTTCCCACAGGACCGATCACCGATGGCCAATCGTTCCTTCCTACTTTGCCAAAGGTGGCTCAAAAATGTCTTCCCTAGTTTGTCTATCCTATCGATGTCACTTCCCGCCTTTTCAAACCACTTTCTACTCCCCAGTACCGCTACCGTCCTCTCCTCTCTATTCCATGCCTCAAACATCTCCCTGTACGTCCCTTGTATTCTTCCCAGCTCAGTCATGTACACTTCCCTCTCCTTTTCGTACCACGGACATTCCGCGACTACATGAACACTGTCTTCGCATTCGAAGCCGCAATCGCATTTGAACTTGTCGTCTTCGTCGTCTACCGTCCTATGTCTTCGTCGACGTTCGCGAAGGCCTATGTCCCCGGTCCTGAATTTGACCTTAAGCTTCGTCCCTGCATCCATTGGTCCATGTAGGTAATCCTTGAACCCTATTCCTTCTTTCAACATTCCGTACACTTCTAGACCCTCCTTATCCTTGGATTCTTTCCTTAGATTCTGTTCTTCTCTCTCGGCACAAGCAACAGATATCTTCTTCTTGAACCCCTGTAGACCCTCCGTTTCCAGCGTTTCATCTTCGTCGATGTCCAATCCCTTCCATACGTCCTCTACAACCTTGACCCATTCCGTGGGTTGTCTACCCCTCTTTTTGTTTCCCCACTTCGCCTCCCATACTATTCTCGGCAACCTCTCCTCTCCCATCCCGCACATGCGATACTGCCATGTCAGCTTCCTTACGTCTCTTCCCGACCGTAGGGATTGGATCCCCAATTCTGCCCTGACTGCTGCATTACTTGTGCGCTTGGAGCATCCTAGGATGATTTTCGCTGCTTTCATCTGCGCCGCCTCGAGTTCTTTCACTACCTTCTTATTTCCTTCCCATACTTCTCCGGCGTACTCTGGCGGCGGTACGATTACGCTCTTCAAAACCGTCAGTTTGATGCGTGTATCAAGGTGCCGGTTTGCGAGTATTGGGTGCAGCTTCCCTGCTCGTGCTTTGCCCTTTTCCGCTACCTTGGACATGTGTGCATTCCACGAGCAATCTTTTGCGATCTCTACTCCGAGGTATGTGTACTGGTCCACTACTGCAATCTCCTCGATCCCCCACTTCCATCTATGTTCTACTGGTTCCTTCCTGCCCTCGTTGCATACCATGACGGCACTCTTCGCAACGTTGGCAGACAATCTCCACTTATCAGTAAATTTTTTCGCCGGGTAAATTTGCAGTTGCATTCCCTCGGGGGGGGGGGGGGGGGGGTGTACTCATAGTCGTGCATGCCGTAGTCGTTTGACCATTGACCTCGCATCCCTACAAAGCCGGGACGGAGCATGCCGGGTTCTCACCGGACCAGGCTCTCACATCACCAAGCGCGAAGCGCCGTGAGGTATTTGGCGAGTCGCATGAAGGGTGAGCTGCATCCTGCTAAGGGTGTTCGGCGTCTTGTGCTTACTTCCTTGCGTACGGATGACAGCTACGTATGACTTAATTTATTTTCTGGTGCTTTCACTTCCAGAGACAGTTGTAAGCACTGTGTAACTGCCTCGAGGAAGCTTGACCATTTTAACACAACGTGGTGCGATCATCCCCCGTTGCGCGGAGTGAGGGTTCTCGACCCCGCACAATATGATCTACTCGACCACCATTATGGTTACCGCCAAAAAAAAACCGAGGTAAAAAAAAAAACGGTAACCTGGTTGCCGAGTTCACGAAGTGAATTGGCTTGTTTTACAACGTCGTTGCCAAGCGACGAAAACCCAACCCCGATGGCAAACACCGAGTGGGGGGCTTGTTTTACAACGTCGTTGCCAAGCGACGAAAACCCAAACCCCGATAGCAAACACCGGGGGGGGCGGCTTGTTTTACAACGTCGTTGCCAAGCGACGAAAACCCAACCCCGATGGCAAACACCGGGGGAGGGGGAAGGGGGGGGGGGGGGGGGGGATTTTTTTTTTTTTTTTTTTTTTTT